ATGAATGGACCTTGGATGCTCTCCCAAGAGCCTGTAGGTGTTGTGCTGCCAATGCCCAGGCTCTGCCATTTTGCTGCTGAACCACAACCTTGCCTCTTAGGTGCTGTAAGAGTCAGGCCAGCCCTGAGCTCTGCCATTCACACACTCTACGTAGCACATTTTAGACATAAAGTCACGCTGCCAATGAGACTGGCTGCTGCAGACAAGTGCTCCTTCATCACTGCTCCCTCATTTTCCATGATTCTCACTATGCTGCTGCTTGTTTCCCAATTTTCACTCCAGGGAGAAGAGCAGCAGGGGGACAGCCAGCGCCATCCAGCCCTGTACCCTGTCCCCAGTGATGAGGGGATGAGGGCAAAGGATGCTTAGGCAAACAGTAAAAGAGGGTAAAGCTAGAAAATGCTTAGGAAAAGGGTAAAAGAGGGTACAGCCAGAGAAACCCATCCTTTCTGAAATCTTCCCGGAATCGGTAATTGGTGTTTTAGGGATTTCCCAGCCTTGAGGTTGCATCCAACATAACCTGTTTAATAATGAGCCTCACCCCCTTCTCCTTCTCCTTCTCCTTCTCCTTCTCCTTCTCCTTCTCCTTCTCCTTCTCCTTCTCCTTCTCCTTCTCCTTCCCATCCTGACCGTACCCCAACCCTTCACGGTGTCCCTCCTTTCCCCACGCAGCCGTGAGCAGGACAGACCCCAGGTGCCGGGATGCTGCTGAGCACCCCCCCTCCGTGTCCCTGCCCCCACGGAGGGGTCCGGGAGCGGCTTCCCAGGGCTTTCCACTGGAGGTCAGTGTTGGCCTGAGCACAGCGGCTGGCACCCCGGGCCACCCCCCCCTGCCACCCCCTCCCCACGCCGGGGCGTTACACGCGTGGGGTGAAGCGGGGGAGGGAAGGGCAGGGTTGCTCCGGCCCTCTGCAAACACAGCGGCTGCATCACCCGCTCCCGCCCGCACGGGAAGGACCAGAATATCTACAGGACCCAAACATAGCACAGCAGAGGGGGTGACAGACCCCCCCGACACCCCAAGAGGTAGCTCGGAGCTTGGGAAGTGCTGAGTCCCAGGTGCTAATTTGTTAAAAACTCATTGGCAGCTGGCAAAGCCAATCTTTGGTTCCCTCTGCACCCACTGCCCACCTTCCCATCATCAACTTTACCCAATCTTCACCCCAGAGAGACACCACTGATTGTCTTCAAGCTGCGTATTTGCAAAGGGTGAAGCACTGTGTAGAATAAAAGCTCGTTACGGTGTAACATTTCCAACACTGGGACTGCCAGGGGACAGCTGGCAGCATCCTGACAAAATCTAACACTACCAGGGGGACCGACAAGTTCTTCAGGAAATGTGCTTGGACTACAATTTCAGCGAATGCTGTGCTTGCTTGCAACTGGATGGAAAACACTATTTATAGCTTGGGAATATCAGCTGGAAAGAGCATTTCTTATCGCTTGTTTCAACCTGTGGGGAGGCTGTAGGAAGGTGGTACAAGCATGAAACACACAGAAGGCGTTGTACACAGACGGATGTAGCATCTCAGTTAGTCCTCCCCGGGCAGCCAGTATTTCCCAGAGGAAAACAAACATCTTTTTCAAAGCGGCAGCTGATTTGGGTTATTTGTTTCTGAACATGTAGCCTGAGGGATCTGAATTCAGCTTGATTTGCAAAGGGTCGTTCTTGGTGATAGCTCAAATCACCACCCAAATCTCTTTGGTGCTTGGGATCCAAACCTCTCCTCCGCATCTGTGGGCTCAAGACAGGGCTCTCCCCACTGTGGGATGTCCAGGGGACCTCTTGCCATCACCCTGAAGGATGACATTCATTCCACAGTCTTGGAGAGCAAAGAAAGTTTTGCCTCTGGCCTTTGTGTGAGCAAGATAAAGATAGTTATGACTGTCATTACTTAATATTCCCTAAACTCCCTGGGTATAGCTAAATAAAGAGAGGAGGATTTCAAAGGAGACTAGGTTTCACAACTGAAATCTGGGCGATAATTACTCCTATTTCATTCAAATCCCTCTTATTCACAAAACAGAGACATTGAAAAGACACTAAAGAGCACAGGTATAAACTTTACAAAGCTGAGAACTGCTCTGTCCCAGCAAGGCTCATGCTTTACATGACACATAAATCCTACTCATTTGCTAGATTCACCCCAACTGTAAACAAAGCTTTGAAATGAAAGCTTAAAAGCCTAGTTGGGATACATTAAGTTAACCAAGAAGACACTCTTAAGGCATTAGTTTAATGACAATCACAATGTAAGTGCCAGAGGTTTGTGCACGTGAGGATTAATATCTATAGGAGAAGGGGTTTCTTCTATCTATAGGAGAAAAGGGGGTTGTTGCCCATGCTTTCCAGCTTGTTTGGCAGCGTAAGGCCCCCAGTGAGGGTGGCTTATTGCTGCTTGCAGGGGGCTCTGGGCTGCGGCTGTCTGGCAACCCAACGCTTCACACCAGGGTTTGTCCACCAGGATAGGGTCAGCTGCTCTCTCTGAGCCAGGATTTTGGGGATCCAGCCCACTGCAGTGACTCTTGCTTCATGCCAGAACCCCCATGGTTAAAGAGACCCCTCTTGCACAGGCACAGGGATGGGATGGGTCTCCTGCAGACCACCCCCAGATGTGGAGCTGGGTGCTACTCTCCAGAAAGCCCTGTGGTAGGAGAGCACAAGCAACTGGGGGACAGGAGCAAACCACAGCCCAGCCCTTCAGGCTCCCTGATTCCCCCCTGGCTCCACCAGCTCTTGAGTTAACATCTACAAATGCCAGGAACCTGCAGGGTGACTGGGGAGGAGCGGGTGTGAGATGTCCCAGCTCGGCCACCTCTTCCCGGTGCATCCCACCTGGGTAGAACCACAGCATCGCCTGCCCACCCAACGCCATTTTTTTTCTTTTATGCCAGCACTGGGTTCTCCCCCAGCTCAGACACTCTCCTGCTCATGGTGCAACCCCAGCAGAGCCCCAGCCCGGTGCCTGGCGATGCTGGAGGGAAGCCAGCAGACCCAGCGCTTGGGGCACGTGTCTGGCTCTGACCCCCTGGGTACTTAGGCGAGACTTCAAAAGTGCTTTTGTTTGAAAAACTTGTCGGAAAAAACATTGCAGGATCAGGCCCTGGGAACGAATGTCAGCTGTGACAAGTGTCCTTTCCATGGACTGTCCTTGCAAGGGGTTATTTCAGCATCCCCCCCGTCCACCTGTACAGACTGTGTGTTACAGGCAGGAGCGGCACTTTGCAAACTTTAATTAGATAGAAGGTCTCTGTCTGTTGATATCTTTCATAGAGAGCCAAAGTATTTGAAGGGATAAGTTTTTTCTCGACTCCCTTTCCCAGCAGGGCTATCACTAAGGGAAAAGCACAGAAGCTGCTGTCGGGAGCAGTGTGAAAGCTGGAGAGGTGAAGGTGGAGGGACCATGGAGGAGACCCAGAGCTCAGGGGCTCAGCCAAAGGCAGCAGACCAGAGCTAGGCCAGTTTTTAGAGACAGATGAAACCCCAATTTTAAAGAGGACAAGAGGAAAAAAACATTTCCTTCCCTCCCTTCCCATACCAACCCCACTCTCAGTTTCTACAGAGCACATGGGATAAAAAAAATGAAAAGCCACAAGCTCCCAAGCTGTGGGCAAAAGCTGACTCCCTCCGTACCTGCCTGTACACCCAGCTTTCTGTCATGATCAGCAGCTGGGAAATGAGATGCTCGGTTTTGCACCAAAGCTCAACTGACATCCAACCCCTCCTTCAGCAGGAGGAAGGTGCAATAGGGACTACAAGAAACTACTCTGCTTCAGAGGACACCCTTGAAAAAATGGAGAGAGATCCTAGCTTGTAGCTTTTACCCGGAGGGTGTTTAAATTAAAAAAAAAAGCTATATCCAGAGATGGGGAAATTCTGCCTTCAAACCTGGAGAGATGGTCTGGGTAGCAGTCCTGAAATAAAGAGCAGCAGCCCGGCCAGTGAACAGGTTGGAATTTTAATGGATTTTGTTGCTAGGAAGGAAAGCTACAATCTCCTAATTTGCAGAATTTCACCTGCAAGGGATTCCTCGGGGGGAAAGCGCGTTCCCTGCCACGCAGATGGAGACCATTGGGCCGAGGAAGAGCTGCATGGGGCAAACCCTGCGGCTTCCAGGTGACGGAGAGCTGATTGCAGTCTTCACATGGCTTGGCGGTGGTTAGTTACCATTCGCTTTTAAAAAACTTGCTGTAAAATATCTTTGGAAAGTGTCAATAAAAATGTAAGCCGTGGCAGTGTCACAACAGCAGCGTGAGTCTGTCTCCCACCAGTTACAAGACCGATAACTTCCTCTCCTCAAGGTCCGTCCGGAGCCAGAGGAACGGCAGCACTGGACATGTTGGAATGAAAAGCTTTATTTTAAAAAAGTCCTTTCTAACAATAAAAGTTATTTTTAAAAATAGTAAAAAGAAGTAGTCGGGGTGTTGGGAATTTTTTTGCCTACAGGAGAAGGAAATGATAAACACCTTAAATATCCATTTAAAATCCAGTGAATTGGTTTAGTCGGGTTTTTTTGGGGGTAAATCTAATTCCAGTTACAGAGGAGGCACCCGGGGAAGAGAGGAGAAAGCCCATTTGCAGGACAGCTCCTGCTCTCTGGGTTCCACACACCCATCTCCTGGGAACGCTCCTCCTCACCCCACAGGTGCCCCGGGGTGCTCCAGGGTGCCCTGCTGCAGATGGCACCCCTGGGGGCAAGCTGTGCAGAAGGGACACCCCCTCTTCCTGAGCGTGGGGATCCCTGCCTGCCAGATGTGGCCAGAGAGCACCTTTCCCAGCAGGGGATGGGGCAGAAAAATAGACCACCTTGTCTCCGGTTAAAAATGAGCTGAGAAAGAGAGTTCAGTCCCCCCACAGGCATGTGTCCCCACACGGCCAGAGGCTGGGGGTCCCCAACCCCACCCCAGCTGGTCCCCACAGCGGGAAGGAGTCTACGTGTCCAGAGATGATCCTGGGGGTGTCCAGCCAAGTCGTTGTCCCCCCATCCCCAACAACCCCATCACATGTACCGCTCCAGGCCGGCGGGGAAGTTGGGCTGCCTCATGTAGGCATTGCTGGAGCCGAACTGGCCGAGGGGGGACGCGGGGAGGCCCAGGAGCTGCTCGCTGTGCTCGGCGCAGGCCGGGGGCCGCATGGCCGGCAGGGCCAGTCTGTTGGGAGCCCCGTAGAGCTGCGGGCTGCCGGGCGAGTAGCTGCCCTGTGCCACGGGCAGGTGAGGAGGGGAGGCAGCATAGGGATACGCCAGGGTGTTGGGCCCGGCTCGGCCCAACAAGCCGGGACTGACGGGCTGGGCCTGGAAACAGGGAGGCTCGGAGCTGCCGGCGGAGCAGGAGGGAGCCAGCTCGGCCCCGGGCAAGCCCAGGGATGGGTGGCCCAGCTCGGTTGGTGGCGATGGCTGTAGGGCCTGCTGCCCGCTGATGAGGCTGTCGATGCTGAACATCCTGGGATGCTGTGCCGGTGGGGCTGTCCCAGCCGCGTAGGGGTGGAAGACGGTGCTGGAGAGCTGGGGGCCGTAGCCGGGCGAGCAGAGGGCGTTGGGGTAGGGGGCTGTGGGTGCCGTGGGGCGGCCAGCGGGCGGGGGCGTGAAGGCGCTGGAGTTCTGCATGTAGCCGGGGTAGGTGGTGATGTCGGTGCGCTTGAAGCGCTTCCTCCGGCGCAGGAAGCTCCCGTTGTCGAACATGTCCTCAGCGGCCGGGTCCAGCGTCCAGTAGTTGCCCTTGCCGGGGTGGCCGGGTTCCCGGGGGATCTTGACGAAGCAGTCGTTGAGGGTGAGGTTGTGGCGGATGCTGTTCTGCCACTTCTTGGGGTTCTCCCGGTAGAAAGGGAAGCGCTCGGTGATGAACTTGTAGATGCCCCCCAAGGTGAGCTTCCTCTCGGCGGCGTTGGCGATGGCCATGGCGATGAGGGCGATGTAGGAGTAAGGGGGTTTGCCCCGTTGCACCGGTCTCTTCCTCCGGCGGCCCCCGGCGGGAGGCGGCGGTTCCTCGGGGGGCGGCGGCGGCAGCGGTGGGGGG